GCACGTTACGCCAGCGCATGCCATTCATGTCTCATGTATAGTGCTTGGAAACCCTAAGGACAATTATGACATGGCGAGCGAGTATTTTGTACTTCAATTTTATGGCTTCATGTCACTCACAATTTAGTTTTATGTTACGTACATTATTAGCATTACAGAATCCACATATTCCTGCCAGTTTTAATATGTATTTTATAATCAACAAGTGTGCAACGCCGGTCAAAGTTTGACACTTCTCTGGCCATTATCTCCGTAACCGTTCAACTTTGGACATAGGTGTTTTGGGTTATATCGCTATACTTTAACATAAGGAACACCCTCCCGAAGTTTGGTCCATTCCTCCTGGGACATCCTGTATATTGTGACATGTCGGCTGTGTGACTCGACACGAATAAATTGCGTGGGCCCTCGGATCGGAACGGTTTCTTTTATTGGACGCTCACTTTTACACTAGCGAGTACAATTATTATCACACATAAAATCTTCTATCACGCGTTCAGTTCTTCTTCCTCCCGCTGCTGCTTTGACTGACTGACTGATTTCTGTTCGGCCAAATACCCGAATATTGGCTCCTTAGTGAAAGTCAAAGTGACATTGCGACTGACGGTCAGTCAGTCAGTCAGTAAGTCTTGGTATCGAGCCCCATCTGGAGCTCATGGCCAGATATTTATTATTGTTTGACAGTTACAGTTTTCTTTTTGTGGGGCCCCCTCTCTGACGAGAGGACGGGTCTGTCTTTTAGCATATGCTGCAGGCTCTTTCCAGCGCAGTCTGTCTCGGGTCCATGTCCCTTGGACTCGCAACCATATTTTATTGTCTGAGATTTGACACTTCCCTTACTGGCTCCTTAGTTATTCCAGTTTCTCTTATAAACCCTCAATTGGACAGGCCGAAAACACAGCTTGCTTCACTGTTGCGTGACGCCGTGTTTACAGAGGCGTTGCTTGATAACGTTGCCGAGAGTTGTTTATGGTTGCGTAGCAACCAACACGGTTCTGCTTGGATCGGTTCGACTCAGCACGGCACGGAGAAACACCGCTTTCCTTACTGTTGCGTAACCTCGTTCCACTGTTGTGTAACATGGCAACCGACCCTTTATCAAGAGTCTGTCTTCGTGGTAACTCGTTCCACATCCCGTTGCCCAACAACGGTTTGACATGTCACAATATATATGTAAGGTTCCTATCCGATGGATACAATGGGCCCTTTCTCTGGGGTTAAAGCGACTGAGGTGTGGAGCTGACTATATATCTCCATCTAATGCCGAGGTCAAGAATGGTGGAACTATACCTTCACTCCCCATACGTCTCCATGGCGTGGTTCTTAATTAATTAAGCATGGATACACAAACACGCTACAATATTTTACCTTACCTATCTACGTAAGGTAAAGGCAACGATGTCCTTGTGCTTAACTAATTAAGAACGCCATGAAGACGTATGGAAGAATGGATGTACAGATCCACGGTTCCATGATTTCGGTATTAGTTGGAGGTGAATGGCCAGCTTCACGGCCAGGCCGCTTTACTCCCAGGAAAACAGCACCCGGTATCCATTATGTAGGAAGCTGTATGGGCCCCAGAGTCGGTCTGGACAGCGTGAAGAACAGAAAATTCTTGACTCTATTCTGACTCGAACTCCGACGCCTCTGCAGTCCAGCCCGTAGACAGTCGCTGTACCGACTGCTCCTCCCTGTGTATGTGTGCGCATACTATAGCACTCACTGGAATTCATGTTGAAATATATTTTACTCTTGACCAGAACGAAAGTATTCACATGAAAATTTCTTCTGTGGTCATAGTAATACTCGTAATTTATTAAAAGTATACACACTTGTGTGATGTGACGCCGTGTAGTCCTGTATTGTCTCTATATAGAGTATTAGAAGAGCGAACCACATAAACAAATATCAGAAGGCAAGGGGAAAAAGATCGTTCTGCTTGCAAAAATTCCTCTTTTACACTGAAGATGGAGGTTGAATTTCCTTCCGAAAACATTGTCAGTTTCTACTACATTACATTATATCACATCACAGAAGATTCTAAAAGTTCCTTGATGAAAGACCAATTGAATTTGCTTCAATTCTATTAAAATATTCATAATCATCTCTGCATGCGGACAGAATGGATGCACATAAATGTCACCTGAAAGTAGGGCAGACATTCTGAATGTTTAACCTCTTCATGCCCTACATATGCACGCTAATCAGTGTTTATGCTGGCGGCCAGAAGGGGGAAGTTAGTGAAACATTCCAGTCGAAAGAAGGGTGATTCTAAATTATTCCGTGGCCTATAATTTTCAAACTGAGAGGAAAGAATAAAATTGCTTAGGAATATGAAAGTATAGATCAAAAAGTTTTATTAATTAGAGAATCAACACTGCAGAAGGCTAAGCAGCTTCATCATGAGTGCCTTTCAAATCATGTACGGTTTGAAAATTATAGGCCGCTGAAATCAAGACAATAATAAAGAGTCACCCTATACTTCAGAAGCTCTTAACATAACAAAGTTGTTCTCTAGTTTTCAGAGGACATTCTTTACATGCAGAAGGCGTAAAGCTATTGCAATACAAAAACCTACTAAACATGTATGGGGCAGAAATTTTCATGGTAGTGAAAATAAAGATGATGTTCTCTCCTGAATTATGGCTCAATTTTATACATTGTGGCACATAGACCAGTTACTATAGACCAGGCATGTCCAACGTCTTGATCGCGATCGACCGGTCGATCGCGGGATGATTTTTGGTCGATCTCATAGGCCTATAAGGAAATTATACGTGAAAAGCATGTAAATTCACTTGTAATGTAATATGATTATATTCAGATTTTGAAGGGAAAATACGTGTTGAAGTAGTTTCTACTTTCAATGTATGTTTCTTTTAGAACAAACATCACGTGTCGTGTTATTTTTACCAATATTTTTACTTAAAGCGAGGTACGATAATAGGAGGGGGTGGTAGATCACTGGTAGTTTTGACACTAAAAGTCGATCAAAATCTGTTTGAAGTTGGACATGCCTGCTATAGAAGGATCGCGAAACAAACGAGACAACGGCCGTTGCTAAGCAGCGGCCCACGCGCAACAATGGAAATATTCCTGGTGACTGTGTTTTATGTGTCGTAAAATAACTCTGACTCTAACTCAGTTCAGTTAGTGCAGTGCAGTGCAGTTCGGTACAGGAAAGTGAAGAATTTGTTGGTGAGTTAGTGAGCAGTCAGAGAAATGCAGTTCAGTCGTTGTGAGCTGTTGCTGCGAGAAGCTGGTACCTGAGGCATGGGTTAATTCGGGAACCCAGAGTAAGGAGAATGCCGTTACCAGACAACGGCCGATGAAGACAGAGCGGACTGAAAACTTAGTGTGTGCTGTAGTGAATTATATTGCGTAAATTAACGATATCGCTATATTTACATGTTGTGTAAGTGTTCAATAAATTTAGTTACCTATCTAAACTCCGTCTCTAATCAATAATGTGACAACATTAATTTATTTGTAGCTTCTTTAATAGGGTTACTATTTACTCAGTCTGTATACCAGCAAATGACTGGATGATAATAAATAAGAAGTCGTGTAGAAGGAAACATTAATTCACTTATATGGATTACTATCCCAGCATTTGACTGAGGAGACTAAAATGAAAAACACTGAAACCTAAGGCATTATCCCGGTTGAAAGTCGAACCGAGTACCTTATGAAGACACATTAGAAGCGTTACTCTTTGAACAAATTTTCTCTGTTTGCGACAACGTACATTTTGATAGGTATTTCTAAATATATAGGAGGGGTATCTGCTGATTTTGTCTTCAGAGTAACGGATGGTAATATATGACACCGTTAATTTACTACACGGTTATCGACGTTTTGGAGTAACCTGCTGTCTACAACGCTACCCTGAAAATTAGAGCAGGAGGATCCGCTGACAAGTTATTATCTGCCAGACTATACAGTGGCACAATCTTAATCTTGATCTCCGGTGAAACCTCAAATATCAGGAAACATAGATGACAACACTATGGGCCCGCAACAGTCCCCCAGAAATTACCCTCAGCCGTTTCATGCGCAGAGTGTCCCAGGCAGAAAGGTCGTTGTTCTTGGAGGGCCATTTTAAGCAAAAAGTGTATATGTACGTATACGTATACGTATATATGTACATGAGTCCTATTCCGAACGGTTTCTGAGGTGGAGCTATTTCACTATACAGTTCCAAAGTTGTTGATAAGAAAGAGATGTTACCTGCTACTTCTAATACCGGTATTTATCGTTCAAGTGACAAAGTTGGTACAGTTTACCTAGTATAATAATTTTTCGAAAACTCCACCGTCAACATCAATGCACTTTGAAATTCATGTAAGGGCATAGCGTGTTGCTCGTCTATATAGTGTGCAGTGCACTATACAGTGAAATAGCTCTATGTCTCAAACCGTTAGGAATAGGACAACATTTTCTCTTAGGATGACCGATACTTTGACCTCCCAGCATACCGACATTTCCTCCTGGGGCACTCTGTGTAGGAGAGATGTTGTGAGACTTAAGGGTCTCACGGAAGCAACTATGAACATTACTACTTCCAGACAGCGCCAAACGTGTAATGACTGATGAATTGGAATTGATTTGGAAGAAAGCGACTGTGTCATTATAGAAGTACTCTTCCAGAATATTACCTGTAGGGACTGAGGAAAACCAGAAGAGTCAATCGGGATAGCCGGTGTCTCGACCAAGACTCAAACCAGTCACAACGAAATAAAGTCCAGAGATTTACTGCTACTCCCAACCTGCTCGTTACATCGTGTAGTCTGGTGTTGTGTGCCGACCATTCGGAGGAATGCATTGCCTCCATCTTCAAGGTAAAAATCAAGTACTTTGCTTGCTACATATTTGGTTTATTTTCGACACTGAAGATGGAGACATTGTGTTCATCTGAAAGCTCAGTATACCTCTACCAGAATACACGGCATCACAAAACACACAGTAGTATTCTTCAAGAGAGATATGAATCAGCCCACCTGGTAATGACAGTCCCGCATTCGATCCCCTTCACGTGATGGGACGCTGCTGATAAGGAACAGTACCGGTGATGCTACCAGTAAAGATGTGACGATAAGCGTCGCGACGGTGAGAGACGCTTTGTGTACACTGTTGTTCCTCCTGAGCCAATAACAAGGCACACAGCAAAGCCAGCTTCCGTGTTCTGGGTACACCTGGGCTTGTGTACGCTGATGGTGGTGATCCGATTCGGTGTCGGCGCTCGTGGTGGGCGCAGTGCGGGAGGAACTGGCGGTTCCAGCCGCCGCCGTGGCGGCCCCGCGGCTGTCCTCCATGGCTCTGTCTCTCCGAATAGTATTGCTTCACCCACATTGATCCATCGTGATGTGCCATTATTGGACATGCGCAGTGATTCCCACTGCTAAACTTCACAGATGAAATCTATGGGTAAGGAGACGCGTGATTTACTGAAATAATTTAGTCTGTAGAATTGTTTAAGGTTAAGTTTCTACGTATGATTATCACCTGCACAAAATGGCGATGACTGATCAGATCCACGGGTTAGCTGCCATGCTAACAGGGAATGAACTCACTGCCTCAGCTATTAGGCTGTTGCGGCCCAGTGCAGAAAACACAAATCTTTGTTTCTAAGAAGAACTGATGGTCGATCAACCAGTCTATGGCCGGTCATGATATTGTCTGACTATCAAACCTCTTGTTTGTAAACACACACACGCCGATTAGCTTAGTCCGGAGGTAAAACCGGGCTGGTATTCGTGAGGTGATCGGTTAGAATTTCGGCCAGGACGTCGGCTACAATAACGGAGATTTATCTGATTTTCTGAGTCCGCCCCTTCAGCCTAATAGCAGGACGATGCCTCAAGTAGGCAACTGACTCCTTCCTTTCAGATATTTTCAAGTTCAGCATACAGAATTATCTAACAATAAATGCTATACGGTCACGGTAGCCGAGCGGTCTAAGGCATGCACTGTCTTCACTCGCTCGGAAGCCGGGATCGTGGGTTCGAATCCACTCAGGGCATGGATGTTTGTGTGCGTTTTTCTGTGTTTGTCTACAGGTAGAGGCCTTGCGACGAGCTGATCACTCGCCCAAGGAGTCCTACCATATGTGTAAGATCTAGAAAAACCGAAGTGAACGGAGAAGTTCATGGAGGTAGGCCTAGGCCCACTGGGGCTGTAATGCCAAGGAAAAAAATTCTATACAAGGCCGATTATAACAACTTCATAAAATAACCCACAAAAGAAACAATATATACAAATCAGGAAATGTGTTATATATGTCTTATATAAAATAAGTCTTTTGAAAAACAATTTAAATGACTAGACAAATAACATGTGGCAAGGTTCTTGGAAATATTTTACTGGTAACCATAAGGGTAGAAAAGATTGTATCCCGATGAGGTGGATATTCTCAATTTACCTAATCCTTCCAGCAGCAATTTGGCCCTGGGGTCCACTCAGCCTCCAACAGAAATTAGTACTAGGAATATTCTTGGAATATTATTGGGGGTAAAGGGCGGCCGGCGCGTAAGGCTGACAGCCTTACCACCATCTATGAGCCGATTGTCTAGAAAATGTGGGAACCTCAACATCTCACAACCCTATGGGCCTCCACGGCCTGTTACAGGGATAGCTTTACTTTACTTACTATTTTACTCTTCTTGCTCATCATAGTCGCCTCACGATCTAAGGTATGAACTGTCTTCGCTCCCTCGAACGCTGGAATCGTGGGTTCAAATCCCACTCAATCATAGATATCTATGTGTGCGTTTCTTCCGTGTTTGTGTTGTCCTGTGTGTAGGTAACGGTGTAACGACGGGCTGATTCCCCATCCAAGGAGTCGTATCGATTATATATAGGCTCAAGAAACTGAAAAAGTGACCCCCCCCAAAAAACAGCCAAGTTCCAACAAAGAGCTGAAGAGCCATAAAAATAAAAGTAATAATTTTACTATAATCATGTAAATTTGGGCGTTAACTCAATATTAAGGTATCTTCAAGATGAAGACAAAGTAGGCACTACTGCATCTATATTATTTGTTTAGTACGCGAAGCTGTACGCTACATGTTTCGACATCTTCTATGTCAACATCAGGCGAGTTACAAGAAAAATAAACAAGGGACTTGAATTGCGTTGTCCTCATATTAGTCCATTATTATAATTATTATTATTTATCGAATGCACATTTGGAGAACGTAAAATATGATTAAAGCTCTAGTAATCAGCTGTTGTCTAAAATTAAAATAATTAGAACTTATTATTTTATGACTTTTCTATTAGTATTAATACATACTATACTGATTTAATTTGCCTTAAAATTGTTTCGAAAGTTATTAAACATTTTTAATGATCTTTAAGCTAAATTACTCGTCGAATTATATGCAGAATTCATAAGTTTATTTAAAAAATATTCTTGAAATTCAGCTAAGACTAAAATAGTGTAATGTGTTTTACTGTGCTGTCAATATTCAGAACTGGTACAATGATTGAGGTATGTTGCATTTGAAAAGACTTGGAAAGAAGCGATCATGCCCGAATTTAAGTTACTATCGCAGCATTTACTTAGCGATACTTAGACAAAACACGAAAGGCCACAGAGAGTATAGTCAGTGTCCTTGCTGTGATTCAAAACGAGGACTGCCTGAAAAAAATCTGGAGAAAAGTGGTCGGTTTATTTTATGAAGAAGCGTTTCATCAATTCATTTAGTTATATGGAGAAATTTAATAATGAAGTAACTACTAAATACAAAGCACAATAGACCACTGTAGGTCGCGGTGCAAGGGCCGAGAAGGCCTAACCCTTATACATTTAACTACTAAATATTCGACTTTAATCCTGAGGAAGGTTTCGTTATACGTAGATCGAGGAGAGCAGAAGTCTACATCCAGTAACCTATACAATTAACTAAGATCACAAGACAATCAAGGCAGCACTAATTATAAGCGCCCCCAATAACGTCATTCAATAAATCAATGGAGAGAGTGTTAGTACAATCTGGTACGGCCCGGTCAGCGTTAGCAATAACTTTATACGCTCTCGGCTTACTATTTTACCTTGAAAATGGGAGAAGTATGTTCTTTCTAAACGTCAAAAAGACGATCTACCAGACCATATATCATCACGTCTCAGAAGGATCATTTGAATAGTCGCCTTCAGAACCTCAAATCTCACAAAGTCAAGAATGATTTATAGTAACGTTGAAATTTTGGTTTCGTTTAGTTGCTCAGTCAGTATAGCGACTGGGCTATGACCTGGACCATAAAAGAACTGGGGCTAGATTCCAGAGAGAGGCAAACTGTCTTTCTGCTCTTGCGTAACGTCCAGACAGGCTCTGGGATTCACCCGGCCTGCTAACTAATTGGTACGGGAGGCTGTTTCCCCGGGGGTATAGAGAGGCCGGGGCGTGTAGCTGACAGCTCTTCACCTAATCCAGAGTTCAAGAATTGTGAACTATATCTCCACTCCCCCTGTCTTCATGATGTGCCGCTTGATTAATTAACCACAGCGACAAATTAACCTTTTACCATGGAGACATACAGACGAGTGGAGTATAGCTTCACACAACACAAGCTACATCACTAGATGGAGGTAAATGTTCAGCTTCACGCCCACTCCGCTTTACCCCCGTTGAATAATCCCCGGTTCTCATTCGATAGATGTCTGGATTGGCCCCAGAGAGGGTCTGGACTTTAAGCAAAGAGAGAAATATTTCGCTGCAGTCTGCAATCGAGCTTCGATTCTCCGGTCGTTCTATCCGTAGCCTATTCACGATAATCACTGCGCTATCCGTCTCACTATGCTGTATATACATGCGTCAAGAAACACCCAAGTGTGTAAATAATTAAAACGAACACTAGATAAAATGTCTGTACTGTACATAAGTACCGAGCGGGTTGGCGTAGCGGTACAGAATTAGACTCGTATCGGAGAGGTGATAGGTTGATGTCTCGGCCAGAATAGTGACCATCTTTAACAGAAGCTTTAGTGGAATTCCTCAGTTCCTCAAATGTAACGTCGATGTAACAGCTACATTAGAACACTACCTTCTCCTTTAAAATCATCAATTATTCTTCAATCATGACATTCATCTCAATGCATTCTACATACTGACAGACTCATACAGTAATCCAGACAACGGGTAACACATTATACTGAGTTCAACTTCGTGGCTTTCTGTGATTGTGTTCTATAAATAATGATCAGAGATACTTTATTTCGAATATCATCGAACTGAATTTGCGTCATCAGAACTATCGATTTCCAGGGCTGCTTGGCGCAATCCCCGAATAACATTGTGTGGGCGAAGAAGTGAGGAGCGCTGGGCATGATTATTTACGGCAAACTAGCTTCTTCGTTACGTGTAGCTTTGAAACTTACGTAGATACACACTAGAGCTGAGAGTTATTGTAATTCTATGGAAAAAGTGACCTTACAAAGAGCTTCAGTTGAGATAAATATCGCAAAATTTTATAACCAAATTACTACATATGTAATGTCCTAATGACAGACTGTTCTGAACAGATAAATTTTGAATTGGAAAAGAAAAATCACCGGTGGAAATTACTTCTGGAATAGAACTCGTTATACAGAACACATTGCGTACTCGATATTGTAAATAATTATAAAACGTGGATTGTTTTCTCAGATGTAACGCCGTATAGTCCGGTTAAAATCCAGCGACGTTTCGGAGGGACATAATGCTTCCATTATCATCGTCGACGAGTAATTCAAGGAAGACACCAGCAAAGGAAAAAAAACTACTTTCTATTAGATTAGATTAGATTAGAGCTATAAGCTCATCCGAAACTTCAATGGTCTACTAGCAGACTGCACAACGTTACACGTTAGAAGTGGTCTCAGCCGCCAATTCTAGTGAAAAATTTCATAATTTTCTTGCGACGTATTATTTACTGTTGTGTAAATTTATCTTCTTTATTCGGGTTGCTCACTTTAAGTGTCGGCACACGTTCTCCAGCAATCATGCGAGTAATATTATCTGTCAGATGTGAGATCTTCACGGCGGTAACTATGAAGACCACCATCGTCTGGCGTGTGGTACTGTGTAGAAATCTACTGATATTTCGGGAGACTTTACAACAGGGTCGTAAAACAAACCAAGTAAGGAACCAGCATGCAAAAGAATGGTTCCTGTTTCGATTATTATTGAACCCTGAAGATGGAGGGAGTACATTCCTCAGAAATGTTGATAAACATCTACCAGACTACCCAGCGTCATACCACAGAAGATAACAATAGAAATAGGTTTTTTTTCTGTTTAAAAAAATTTTTTGGATTAAAATATTGTATTTATTCTTATAATTACACCACGTGTTATACTGTTAAGTGAGTAATTATATACCAGACTATATGATGTCATAATTGGGAAGACTACATTGTGAACTGTCACAGCCGTAAAAATCTCATATCTTTTCTTTTTTTTTTTCCTTGGCACTACAGCCCCAGTGGGCCTAGGCCTACCTCGATGAACTTCTCCGTCCACTTAGGTTTTTCTAGATCTTACACATTCGGTAGGACTCCTTGGGCGGGTGATCAGCTCGTCGCAAGGCCTCTACCTGTACACAAACACAGAAAA